AACATATATATGGTAGTGAAGTATGTCGGATGATTGGCCGGCGAAGAAAATATTAAAGGAAAAAAGTCTGACAATCTTAACTTGGAAATTACATATTACTTTGATGGGGAGCAGCAGAAACATTGCATCACTAGCTTGGCTTTACCATGAATAGCAGCAGAAACATGTGTGAAACCAATCATTTGTTTAGGAAGCATATATACACTTGGACAGTTTACTCAACATGGAGATAGAGCTTCCTTTTCCAGACCCAACACGGAAATACTTAGGTCTTAGCCCTTAGGTGTACAGAGTATACATATGTGAATTCTTTCTTTACATTATGTTTCATTTGGAGATTTATGAAAGAAAGGAAAATGCTAAGAAAGAAAAATAAAGTCAAAGAAACTAAAATTATTTATCTTGCTTAGTTAGTGAGAAAATTGGAGAGAAAATTATTTGTTACTCCGTATTAACTTATTTGTTTGATTGTTGTACTAAAAACAGAAAATAGACATCACTTGAGGAAGGCGAGAGCGGGGTGGGTGGGGGAGTGGTGATGTAAAAAAGATGTGGCACACATCTTAAAGTATCTACCTTAGGAGACTATCATCAAAAGCTCATGCTTTTACTGGGCAAACAAGGTACATTCCATAGCTCAAACCCTCCATTGAGGTATACTCCAAAAATGCAAAAAACACACTTGTCTCGTTACTCGATTCTGCACTTATTCTATTTATTTTTTCGCTTGCGTATCCACCGGTGTTATTTAAAGGTGCGGTCTTAGGCGCCCCTAAGGAATAAAACAAGCATGCAACAAAAGGGCAAATGCTACCAAAGCATACGCACATGAAATTGCATATCCACTAGTGTTTCTCAAAGTGCAATATAATACTAGTCTCGTGCCATGGAAATGTGTGCATGTTAGGATAGCATGTGAGACAAAGCAAAGTCCATCTCTAACAATCATAGCATATCAAATATCAACAAAAACAAATTCCAATGAATGTGCATCAATAATGATACTCCCAACCATGAACTCTTCATCAAGCAAAATGAACTAGAAAAAAAAATTGGACAAGAAAATGAGCCACGTGAACAAGTGAAGAGGTGAGGGAATTGGGGGAAATGAAGTATGAGTAGAGGTGAGATGGTGCTTCAAGGTGTGGGTGTGTGATATTGTAGCTCTAAGCCTCTAACTCTCAAAGATAAAATGTTGTGATTCTCAGGAGGTTTCACAACACAGAAGCATTCACGAAGCTATCTTACACATGTTAATACAAATATTTACAACATATACAAGAGTAACCACATGTCATAGATTAAACACAATATAGCACATAAGCTCAAAGTATAAGGTCTTGGTTACTCCCCCACGCTTAAACGAAAAATCTTCCTTGATGTCAAGAAAAATCCTTAATGTTTCATGTTTCTTGACACCAAAGACAGTGTCTCCATCTAAGTGTAGGGGAAGTAGTCAAAACTTTAGAGTTTTAACTTTGCGCTTGTGTCTTATCTTGTGTTTAATTTATGACATGTGATAACTCTAGTATATGTTGTGAATATTAGCTTAGACATGTGTAAGACACATTCGTTAATGCTTCTTTGTATTGCGAAACCTTTTGAGAATCACCACATTTTATCTTTGAGAGTTAGAGCTACAATGTCACACATCCACACCTTGAGGCACAAAATGATTGAGACACTACCTCATCTCCACTCATCCTTTATTTCCCCATTACCCTCACCTCCTCACTTGTCCATGTGGCGCATTTTCTTACACAAAAAGATTTTTTGGATTTATTTTTCTTGATGAAGAGTTCATGGTTGGAAATATCTTTTTTATGCGCATTGGTTGTTGTTTGTTTTGGTTTAGACTTGATATGCTATGATTGTTAGGGATGAGCTTGACTTTGTCTCATATGCTACCCTATCATTCACACATTGTTATGGCGGGAGACTAGTATCACACCTCGAAAAACCCCCGAGTATATGCAATCTTGTGTATGTATGCTTTGGTAGCATTTTCCCTTTTGTTGCATGCATCTTTTATTCCTCAACAGTGCCAATTTTGATGCAAATAATCTTTTATGCGTTGTTAAACACCAAAGACCTCGAATCAAAAAGTGTAGGAAACGATGTGGAAGAGCATTAGAAATAGTAAGAGAGTGAGTAAAGTGGAGTATGGATGTTGTATCCACTGCCATAGCGATATTGGTTGAGATTCGAGTGCAGAGTGTAATTAAACACTAATATTGAATTGCAATATGTGAATCAAGTCCTAGAGACGTAGAAGGTGAATGATATACAAGTGAAATGAAACTAAACTAATGCAATGAACAACACTAAAAATGAAATGCAAGAAGTAAAAGGAAAGCAAGCCAAGTTAGAGATTTAATGTTAACAATGCAAATTCTCAAATAATTAGAGGAAAGAGGAAAATCAACAAGATAGCGAGCAAACCACCTTGATTCTCACTTTTGTGGAAATCAAAAAAGAATTCTCTAGATAAGAGCCTACTTTTCTGTGACGCTCGTCTTAAGAGAACTACAATCACGTCAAAAAAGCTCCTCAAGTATCCTCCACTCATGCGGTGAGACTTGAGAGAGGAGACTCATGGCTAGGGTTCTCAGACCCGATTCTTTGATGATTTAAAACTCATTCTGAAATACAAGTATGTCATAGTGGCTAACAATAACATACAAGCCTTACTAAATCAAGATCCCAAAATCGATGATAATCCAATGACAATAACATAATATTAACAATCTATCACTAACCTACGCTAGATAATCTAGTCTAGCATGCTAAAACGTAAGAATGCTTAGAAAGATAAGAGAGTAGCAAATAAATGAAGAGCATAGATAAGATGGAGGAAATTAAAGTGATATTACAAAGCAAGTAAATAAAGATTAAAGAGTTAAAATTTAAATGTTTGAGTTTCCAAAACAAAGTGACATAACGAAAAAAGATGATAAAAAAACCCTAGTTTAAGAGTGTAGAAATAGAAATAGGGGAAATGAATCTAGAAGTAAAAAGGAGAAAGTTGGAGTGAAATGAGAATAAAGGATATAAGCTGAAAGTCATGAAAGACTCACATCGGATGCTTCACTGTTTTTGTGGGTCGGGTCTGTGGGTCGCTAGTAGGACGCCGGAGTTGGGTCTTCGACGGAGAGACCGCCATGCCTAGAGCCATGCTCTCCGGAGTTCGCCCGTGGGAGGAGGATCGCCAGGGTGGACGATAGTCGTAGGGGCCAGCCTCGCCGCTGCTGTGCGTCACTGGTCTGGAGTCTGAGGCGTCGGAACCTCCCTGGAGGACGAAATTCGCCGATGGTGGCCGCTGAATCTGTTAGTCGCCGGCGTCTGGTCAATCGATGGGAAAATGGAGCAGGTCCGGGTGGATTTGCGATCAGATTATCAAATCTCATTTGGAAGGATAATCAACTTCCTAAAATAGTAATTTGGCCCAAAAAACTTAAGGACTCGTTTAATAAGTGTGTAAGAGCATCTCGTATCCTCTATTTTTCATCATCTATTTGCCTCTTTAGCTTCTACGGCGTTTTTAGAGCTCATTTTTCTTCATCGACGAAACAGAACAAATAGCAATCACTCTATTTTATGGCTTACGGATTAGAGCTCGTTTTTTTGTACAGTGAAGGCTATATCTTTCAATTTTTATTTACACTTTACTCAATTTTAGATGGTCCGTTGGAGTTACTCTAAGAAATTTGTGTTCATATCTATCGAATCACGGGTTTAGTGTATCAAATTGTAAATGTGCATCACCAAGGTTCCCATTACATTGCCCGACAATGTCATGGGATGACTTGGAGTCGCTCCAGTGCCCCGTTCGTAAAATTAACGGTTTCTACCCTCCCTAACCCATTACAATGAAGGCTATATCTTTCAATTAATATTGTTGTTTTTTTATAAAAAAATCTAATTTTTTTGAATCTGTTGCAACCAAAAGATTACAAGGTAAAGTCTTTTTAATATTTATTTAATTATATATTCTTATTCTTTTTAATCGATGCGTTTCAAAAAAATAACTTAAATTTCCTATTCTACAAAAGTATACTTTCATACACTTTTCTTCTTCAATTTCTTTTCTATTCTTTTTTCTTTTATTTTAAATTTTGAGTAAAATAAAAGAAACTATACAAAATAAATTTTCTTTAAATCAAGAAGAGAAAAATAATTAAAAACTAGAAAATGTTAAATAAATTTCAGTGTAAAAAATGAATTTTTCATTGATTTTTTTATCATGAAAATGAACCAATAAAAATCACTTTTAGACAAAATAAAATTATTTAATTTGAGATAAATGAAGTGTATGCTAACTATTTTTATTTTAATTATTTTTTTATTTCAAACACAAATTATTTGTTATTAAATCATTGTGTAGTATAAAAATAGTTTTAAAAAACAACTCTAAAACATTTATGAAAAAGTGTTAAAAAAGAACTTAAAAAATATTGATGAAAAATAGAAGAAAAAAAGAAAACAATAGAGAAAAAAGGAGAGGTGGTGTTGGTGCTAATTTCTAAAACCATAAGATGTGATGGCGCTAGTCATTTAATATTTCAATGGTATTTTAGTGTAGAGGACATTGACATAGAAAGTAGAAACATTAAAACCAGAAGGGGCAACGATGTAAGTTTTGAAACTATGGGAGGTAACGATGTCTAGCAAACCACAAGAAGTATTGGTGCAATAAACTCATCGAATCACATTTCTTTTTTTCTATTTAGTCCCTGTGTCTTTTGAGTTGGAAAAGCTAACTTCCAACTCCTTCCAGTTTCTTTCAACTACTCCCAATTCCTTCCAACTCCTTCCAGTTTCTTCCAGCAACAGCTTCAAAAGGTATTTATATATGATTAATATAAAATAACATTATTATATATCCAAATTTATAACATATCACCTCAAACAAAGACAATGATAAATTCTTTTTTATCCAAAATTAGAGTTTCCTTACATATTTATTTGGGTGATCATTTAATTGAGTGCTTTTTTAACACTTAAATTCTTCCAACATTTTCCAACTCCTTTCACTTTCTTCCAACTCTTTCTAATTTCTTCCAACATCTAACTTTGAAATATCATCCCAAAAGAACAGGGCCTTAGTGAGGAATAAAAAGAATTTAAATTCAATATCTCTAGATGAGACAAATCATTCAAATTGAGGATTTTGATATCTCTCAGATTTGGAATATATCAATGTAGGGGCTTAATATCGCCCTCATTGACAATCATTCCCCGCCACCAACTACCAATATCACAACCAACTACTCCCGTTGTCAGCAACCTCACCAAATTCATTTTAGATTTTGAAACATATATCATTTCTCTCATATTTCAAAATCTTATCTTATCATATCATAACTTGAAACTCACCAAACAGACCCTAAATTTGAGTGTAGACTAACCTTCTCCTTGTATTTGATGTTTGGACCTAAAATCAATCAATTATAACAAATCCATCCAAATTACATCCCACAGATGGAAAAGAAGAGAAGAATGATTATAAAGAGATGAAGAATAAAGAAGAGAGAAAATATATCTTTGGTCCATTACTTTTTAAATTTTAAAAGATTTATTTTTGCACCAATAAGTAGATGATATATATGAAAAGATAATTGAGAACAGCTTAAGAATGATTATGTGTAAAATGTCAAAGGACATCCTTCCTAATATAGTAAACCACAACAAGGGAGCTTTCGTGAGGGAGGAAGTTAGTACATAATATCTTTATGTACCATGAGCTAGCTAGGGGATATAAAAGGAAGGGAATTTCATCAAGATGTCTAAAGAAACTAGACATTAGGAAAATATATAACGCTCTAAGCTAGGAGGAAGCTCTATAAGTTATGAGTTTATTGAATCTTCCTCATCAGTTCATGGCTTGGGTTGAATAGTGTATTAGCTCAACAACATTCTTTGTAAACATTGAAATGGCAGTGCTATAGCTATTTTAGAGGAGGAAAGAGGTCGAGATAATGGGACCTAATATCTCCTTTAATTTTTGTCCTGATAATGGAGTATTTGAACAGATTACTACAACATATGGCAGAGAAAAAGGGACTTTGAGTTTCATCCCATGTGCAACTTTTAAATATTATTAACTTGAACTTTGTTGGTGATCTAATTATAGTATGTAAAGCCGAGGATAATCTATAGATTGTATTATTGAGGTACTAGATATTCTTCAAAGAACTACTGATTTAAGTGTTAATTACACTAAGTCACATATAATTTCTGACAAAGTTGAGAAGAAAGATCAAGACAGGTTCCTAAAGAAAACAAAGATTCCATTGGGAGGGGGGGAATTGCCACTTACATATCTCTGCAGCCTTATCACTATTGCCAGGGTGAGTGTGAAGGAGTGTGACAAATTGATGGAGAACATTGCAACCAAGATAACATTCTAGGCTACGAAACGCTTGTCATATATAAGGAGATGTAGATTAGTTAACAATGAGTTGCTTGAGATTATTACATTCTGGAGCAGATTATTTTTAATCCCCACAATTCAAATGAGAAGATTAAAGTTGGAGAGAGCATATGTTTCGTATTATTTAGAAATAATAGGCATATTTATGTAGTATTATTCTAGCTCTAACTCTAAATATAGTTCACAAAACATATTATTATTTGTTTTTCTATTATCTAAACATAAATATGAATATTATATACTAAGTTATGAGTCGTTGATCCGAATCCACCCAGTTCGATCGGTTGATCCTTGACCCAGTGGCTTATCTGGTTCAATGGTCTGATTTTCAAAACATTAGACACTCATGCCAGGTGTATAGCTTGGATCAGGGAGTAATAATGGGCCGGCAGTTGTAAAACCTTGTGTTCCACTTTCTATTAAAAATATATTTTTATCTTTATTTTTTCTCGTATCAATCATATCATACTTTTTTAACTAATAATCTATCTATACATCTTATTTTCACGTTTCACATCAAAATCAAAATTAGAAAATTAATCATAAATTTATACTCTTTATTTTTTAAAATCAAAATAAACATCCATATGTAGAGTGTAGACTCGTCCAAATCTTTTTTCTTTTACTATACTTTGGCTTCCTTCCAAATCGTCCAATCGACATACAATTCCTTTCATCGGTGTTCTTCCAAATACAACCTCTGGTATTTCTTTTCCAACGCCCCATCCCCTTCTTCGCTGCTTTATCTTTAACCCTAATCAAATATTCTCAATCAAAAGTTATGTCTTGTTTCAATTATACATATGTAAAACACAATTAGTAGATGCTTTTACCATTAATTGTACTTTCGGAGGTACAAATTCCAAATCTGAATCGCTTGTTTACAGATCTTCTATTAGCCCCTGCTATTATCGAAGGTTTGTATGAGACACCACTATACACAGCTCTTATTTTCACGTTTCAGATCAGTATTTGCTCCGTTCTATTTTTAAAATTTTTTATATCATATATTTTTCTTTACAACAGCTGATTAAATTCGTCCCTTTATTTCTTTAATAATCTGTATGTGTTTATCATTTTAAAAGAACTTTTTTTAATAAAAAAATTTCATTGAATAAAGGGGATAGAATTCTTTTAAAAGAATATATTATTAGTATGATCTATTGAATTAAAGTATCTACCTTTATTTTTTAATACTCCGTATTATCTATTGAAAATCTGCATTTTTTTCCCTATTTGTTATCCCTCAGGCAAAAAAAAGAAAAAAAAAGAAGCAGTGATGCTAATTGCTATCGTGTAAGATTTAACATTTATTTAAAAAGTCTGTCATCTTTGTGATTATAAGAATATGAATACTAAAAGGTTATAAATTATGTTACTGTGAACCATAAAATTGCTATCATTATTGTTATTGTAAGTGTTTTGTAGCACCATGTACAATTCTTATTTCCCAATCTCTTTTGTTTTATAACAAAGTAAACTTAAAATAAAGCAAATTATAAACAAACTGATAGATACTTTTTAATAGCTATTGACAGATACTTGGCAAGGAAAAAACTTGAGATAGTCAAGGCAAAGCCCCTCCTTTTGCTCTAGTAAGTCTAAGTGTCTAACATTTTTTGCAGTCAATTTTGGAAGGAAAATTACAAAAACAAACTGCATTGTTATATATAGAGAGATAGACTTTAGATAGAGTAATAACTACTATAGATATAATGTCACCCCTATAGGTGATATTTAAGATGCCGTTGAAGATTGTGGTGGTGATGATTTTTTTTTTGCTGCAGGTAGCTTTTGATTATAGAGATCAAGTCCTGCCAACAAATTTCTGATTGTTGACCATTAATGCGGGAAAATTTATTTAAGTCTGAAAGGTGATTTACTTGTGGTGTGGGTATTTTATAAGACATGGCAGAGGTTCGGAGTTCCGGGAAATCAATTGATCAGTTGTTGGAAAAGGTTCTGTGTATGAACATTCTTTCTTCCGATTATTTTAGAGACCTTTTGAGGCTGAAGACATATCATGAAGTGATTGATGAAATTTACAATCAAGTTGATCATGTGGAACCATGGATGACTGGAAATTGCCGTGGTCCTTCAACAGCATTCTGCCTTCTGTATAAGTTTTTTACAATGAAACTCACTGTCAAACAAATGCATGGCCTTTTGAAGCACGTTGATTCACCATATATCAGAGCCGTGAGTATTCTCATGCCATCAATGCATTGGAAATATCAGTTTTCATTTATAGCCTTAGTCACTCTTCTCTTTCCAATGAAGAAGCTTCACTTGCAAAGTTTTTCCATCAGTCTTCATAGGCATAATTACAGGGAAAGATATGGTCTATAAAATTGCGCTATACAGTTCTTTTTAGTTTTGGCATTTTCAATGGAGCTAAATTTTCTTTAAAATATCAGAATTTATCTTTAGCATATCAATAAGGTTGGAATTTAAATAATTCCTTACAAATTAATGTGTTACAACATGCACATTCTTAAGAAGCTTGATTAAATGTCTTGTTTGATTAATTTTCCTTCTCCAGGTGGGATTCCTATATTTGAGATATCATGCAGATCCAAAGACATTATGGAGTTGGTATGAGCCATATCTTAAAGATGATGAGGTGTGAATGTGCTTCCTTCCAACTTATTTATTACCCAGAGCATTACATTTGCTGTTTTAACAATCTCATTTAGAGGATGGATCACTGTTCTTTTAAATGAATGCATGAGTTATTGACCAACATTTTAGTTAGTTCAATCAGATGTAAAGGTTTGGGAGAGTATGTTTAATGGGAGTTTGAATTTATGAATGTGCTTGTTACTGTCACATTCATTTTCTGATCATATATTGCCATTTGGAAATGCTATTTAATGTTCTCTTCATCCCAAATTAAACTTCCTATTTACTTTTTCATGGTGAACCATTTAATGCTAACCTTAAAAGGAATGAGAAGTTTATTTTGGGACAGACAGAAAATGGATATGAGAAGTTTATTTTGGGAGAGGAAATATCTTTTTTTTTTCTATTTTTTTCTTTAATACTTAAGGCATTGCATCGCTTTTAAGAAATGAACTATATTTTCCTTATATCTTTATGTTTAAAATGCTTACCATGCAACTTTTGAAACTCATTAACGTTTAATCCTTTTGCCTACCTATTTGCAGGAATTCTCTCCTGGATCTAGTGGTAAAATGACCACTATGGGTGTCTATGTGCGTGACTTGCTACTGGGACAGGTAAGGTGCCAAATCATTTATTCGATAACTACTATGTAGTTTTATTTGTTTTGGTTTTCCACATGTACTGCTTCGAATTCCAGACGACCACATCCTTGCACATTCAATTGTCTATGATTGCTGTTGATGTATACCTCTCTTCATGAGTGCTTTAACTGAACATCTGAACTCAATCGTTCCCAATTGGTTCTGTTACTTCTTTATACTATTTGCCAATATGCGTCCACTGTTTCTGAAGGTCAAGGCAAGAGTCTATGCTCCACATGCATTCTACACTCAGGCAGACCCTAGCCCTAACCGTGCCACACTTTTATGCATGATTGACCTGACCTTGTAGAGTATTTTTAAGTTTTAATACTTGGTATTTAAAAGAATTGTATTGGGGAAAGAGCACGGCAGCACGCATCATGCGAAAGTTGAGCAATCATCTACATTGTTCCACCCATAAAGAATGCAGTGCAGTAAAATTTCAGTCAGCTTTTATTTGATACTAACCATGTGTTTGAGTCTTGGTGCTATATGTGCACAGTTATCACATAAGACGTTTTTCCAATTCTAGGGTGTATAATAATCTTTCTTTTGGCCTTAGTCATTCCTTTAAAACATTTATTTTTGTAATCATGGTGCGGCTCTTTGTGTGTGTGTGAAGTGTTCATGCGTATAAGAGGATTAAGGGCTACCATCGGAAGTCCTTGGATCTCACGTCGAATGTGGATTGTGTGTTTCTTTTTTATCATGGTATCGCCTAGGCGTCTCCAAAGTTGGAGAAGGTCATCATTGTAGTTCAACTCACCAGATATAAGAAAGGCATCGTTTTGCATTGTTGAGGCGACAACGAGGCTTCATGGTGATGCAAAAGTCCTTGTTTTTTTGTCAAATAAGTCTACCAACTCTGTTTTTGCCATTTAAATTTACAATAGCATCCGAACCAGTAAAAACAATAACACCGGAGATCAACACGCTTCACGAGTCGCGTAAGGTTAGACACTTAGACGGTCATGTTTTCGGATTTGCTTTTTTGTTTTTTTGTCTTGTTGCACGGTTAACTGCGACATTAAGTGCCACAGTTTTTTTTACTCATGCAATCATTTATGTTATGGTACTTACATATCTACTCTCTACGGAAAAATAGCTGATTAGATGATAATGATGTTGTTGCGATTGGTTTCAATGTTTTTTTCTACAGTTGAAAATTTGTTTTCCAATGGAAATGGGTTCAGACTGTGATTCCAATAGTTTTTTGTTATGGTTTTTGGGCATGAAATGTGTTTTTTTTAAATATTTTAAAAATTTATATGAAATATTTATATGATTTTTTAGGTTTATGAATTACAATACATTTTATATTTATATGAATGTTACTATAACATTTATGACTTATTGCATAGTCAACTAGGTGTCCTGATGGTTTGTTGGTGCCGCGCCTCGTTTTGGTGCCGTGATAACTATGGTGCGTGTGAGAGTTACATGGGATGGCGTTTACTCTAAATAATGGGCTTTTTGAGATAAGTCCGGCCCCTTCACTGATTGTATGTGTGTGCATGTCTATGTGTTACTCCATAAAAAAGATTTTTGTCAGACTTAAATTCGTAAAATAGTTTACATGTAAATTTTTGTTCCAAGATACTAATACTATTATAACTGCAAAGTAATGATGACCTCTTTGCAAGGATTTGCATTCATTGATACTACTTTTCAACAAAAAAGTACTGTATTAACTGAAGTATAGAATTGGTTCTTGTTTATCACAAAACTGAATGGAATTCTTAAAATTGAGTTGGCTAGCTAATGGAGGATTGAAGATCATTAGTTAGTTCCCTTTGCCCTGGCCTAGGAAATGGTGTTACTCAACATTACTGGCTGAATTCTGTATGAGGAATTTTGTGTGTTCGGATGGTGATACAGTATATAGCCAATTAAACTAGGTAATGCTAATTCGGAAATGATTGGTTAGTGGATCCTTTTGCAGTGACACTGCAAACCTCACCGGTAAAGTTCTGAACCATGGTTTTGCTAATTTTCATTTATGATTATGCTCTACTGCGTATAAGCTGTCATGTTTACCAATATGTTCATTATGCCTTTGAAAAGCTTGGGCCCTGTTTGTGATTGTCTTTGGGAACAAAAAAGTGATTCTTAGCCAAAATGATAATTTTACCCTTAAAAATTAGTTTGCATCTAAACGCCATCTTTTGTATTTTTAAGGGTAAAATTGTCAATTCATCATTAATGGGGGTGGATTTAGCCAAAATGAGAGTGGATTTAGCAACACCCAACAAATAATTGATTATCTAAGTAAAAAAGTATACTTGGTACTGTTTGCAAATGTAAGTATAAAAGTATTAGTTTCTGCAAAACCAAAATTGAGTGTTTGCCAACCAAAATTACTAGTGTTTTACTAATGAGCATTAAACATAATTAGCCCTATAAAGTAAAATGAAAAAATGTTGGTGAAGACAAAAAACTGCATAAAATGAGCAAATAAGATAAGCAGGTAGCTACTTGCTTTTGGCACATGGAGATTTTCGTGGCTCCAAAATATGTTCAGCTAAGCCATTTATTTCCAATCACCAAGAATACAAAGAAAACTTAAAACCAGTACTCTCCCGTTTGGAAATGTTCTTCTCTCTTTCGTTTTTGGACCACCCAAGAATTTTCCTCTAATTTCGTTATTCGGCAAATTATTTTGTATGAAATGTCTTATTTAACCTTTACATATTTCCCCACCCATCCTCATTACTCCCCATCAACCCTAGAATTACTCCACCACCACCACCTTCTTCCTTCAATTGTTCTTTCTTCCCATTCTTCTTCTTCTTCTTCTTCCTTCAACTTGTATTTCTTCACCTTTGATTCTTCTTCTCCCCCTTAATACTCACCGCCACCACCATCTTCTTCTTCCTTCAATTATTGTTCTTCCCGCTTCAATTCTTCTTCTTTCAGCTTTTTTGGGTGGCATTCTGATATCGACAGACCTACTCCTTAGCAGTGCTCCATACAGGGAAATGATGTTCAAACGGTGTTTTGGATGGGCATGTCGGTGTTTTGAACAGCGGCTGAGACCTGAAGCTCCAGCAGGCAGCAGCAGTGGACGATCAATAGACTTTTAGGGACAAATAGTGTAGTTATGGAAAGTCAATACAATTTTCAACCCTCCTAAGTGTGCCCAGTCAACTTGAGAAGAAAATTCCCTGATGGAGGGAGTAAGAAGCAGAGATTTTAATTTTTTTAATACACTCCCAACATGCATCTTGTAACTCTTAAAATAATAGAACCAACCATTGGTTGCTGTCAACCACCTTGAAGGGAATCTTAGATTGCTATGTATGCTGGTATTTAGTTCTCCCATTAGCACCTTTAACTTCATTAATGCACTTACTACATTTGATCTAGAATTAATCTTTTACCATATGAAGAGCCTTTGAGTAGTCTGATGATGATGACAAGATTTAGATGATGGAACTGTGCTGAAATGTTCGTTTGGCAGTGAATTCTGATTTATGTCTCATTGAATTTACTTTTTCATTTATTGTGATTATGAGTTTATTTTTTAAAGAAGGCATTCTTTTAAAAATGATGCATACTCATTTTTATCCTGAATCTTGATTCTGCTAAAAAAATTATCTCTTCACAGAAAGATTCTCTATAATTTTTCTTCTTTTTTTGAACTGTCAAGTTGACAAGGAAATGAGGGAACAACATCTGGCTATTTGTAAGGGCAGTACTGGCCTCTCATTCTGCAGTTTGACCAGTAAAACCTTGTTACGTGCCTCTTTTTTCTGTTGTGCATTCCATTTTTATTCTTCTCCCAACTAATTCAATCCTCAAAATGTAGAATACATTAACTATTTTACGTTGTTTTGTTTGTGTAAAAAATTACTAATGTTTGCTCTGTATATGTAAATTCTGACTGAAGTGAACTTTTTTTTTGCGTGTTTGATTGCAGTACTACTTTGATACGCTGTTGCCTCGCATCCCAGTCCCTGTAATGCGCACAATCGTATCAAATCTCGAGAACATGAAGTTTCCCACCAAACCCTCTGGTTCAACAGGGGATTCCAGTCGCGGGTCGGAAGAAACAGCTCGCCGGCCTCCATCAGTCAAAGCTTCACTCTCAGTCTCTTTTGGCCAGCGTGCCCCACACCGTGCATCCACCAGAGATTCATCCCCCATTCGCCGCACGCTGACATCACCTCCCTATGATGATGCAAGACGGTCTCCCAGTTACCGTCGCAGTCAAAGCCGCGACCGAGAAGGGGACCGCGAGAGGGAGAGGGGCAGTAGGGATCGAGATAGAGATAGGGATAGAGATAGAGAGAGGAGGTATGATTATGATAGAGAGAGGGAGAGGGGAAGAAGGTACGACGACTATGATAGAGAGAGGGAAAGGAGAAGTAGAAGGGATCGCGAGAGGAGCAGGAGCAGGAGCAAGAGTCATGGTCGGCGAAGTCCGGCAAGAGATGATGTCAGCAAAGACAAGAAGACATCTCATGTGTCTAGCAATCTGGCAAAGCTTAAAGACATCTATGGTGACTTGAGTAGCAGCCAGAAGGAGAATGGGAACTATGATAGTGAGGCTCCAAGGGGTGGCGGCACCGGGGCCGAGGAGGTTATCCGGCTTGGCGGTTCTTCTTGGAGATAGAAAACAGAAGTGCTCAATGATGTGTGGTTTTATGGTGACCAGCATCTGCTTTATATTGTCATTCTGCAATGGCTGCAGCCTTGTGATGTATTATATTATAGACCAAGCTACCATTTCCATTGTTATTTCTGTTGGATGGGGATATTTGTTTGTTTAACTTTCAAAGGCTCATTTGATTCACACTACTGTATGAGATGAGATTGTATTTGCACTACATACTATGAATTGCCAACAGTTGTGATAGCTTGACTAAAGCTGCAATGACCCCCCCCCCCCCATTTTCTTTAACTATTCCATCCGTTCTAAAATAGTTTCAAATCGAAGCCAGAACTTCCGGTTCTAAAACCGACTCGTCACTGGATCGGAATTGCTCCAGATATTTATACTAAAGAATTGTACTTACATTTTGATGACTTATATTGATACAAAATGCTACTACGATTGTAAAATTTTTCACTCACATTTTTTGTCAATATAAGTCATCAATCTTGCACTTACATTGACACAAAATCAAAGTACAAACTTTTATGGTATAATTTTTGGGGTACACGTATATTTATCCATTTTAATTTCATGAACACTAAGAAAAGAATAAAACTTTTGGTACACCAACGATTGTACCCCAAGTTGTACACTATAGGAATGACACTTTAATGATTCACAGTAGCATGAAATGCTAGTATAATTTTTTTTGATCGCACTAACATGTTGTAACAATGTGAATTATCAAAGTGTTGATGCATATTTGAAGTGTATAATTTGGGTACACGGCACACGTAGCATGGTTGTTAAGAAAAGTGTTGGTAAGATGTTGAAAACATGTACGGAGTAGAAAAGTAAAAAGTGAGCGATTAGAATTTGATTATTGGCATTTTCCCGAATTTAGTTTTTTATCTTCTATCATGTTGGTTTTAAATTAAGGACTAGGGAAAATGAGTCGATGTAAAATTACATTTTTAGTCTTCAGATTAGCAACATTATAGAAGGTTAAAAAAGGACTAAATACAGGAAGGTACTAAATATGAAAAAACATTATTATAAAGGATCAATTATAGATTTACTCTTAGTAAATGCATACATTTATGGAGTAATCTTTATCCTTGAATTTTTTTAAGTGTTAAGTTCTGCTTAAAACTCCAAATCTACTGCATTGGAGCATATTTTCTACTTAGTGCCAAATCTATGCTTAAGAATTTACGGATCAATCCTCTAATCTGCCTCTCTATTTGATGAGTTTCCTTAAGTGTGCCAATCTATCAATATGTCAAGGATTAACAATCTCAAGATTTTCTATTTCTTTCAATCTTTTTCTTCATTCTAAACTTTGTGCATCAAATCTGTCAATTTTGGTTTTCAAAATGACTAATGAAATACGTCTTCGGAATTCGAGCAACAATACAATACGAAGTAAATTAAGTATAAAAAACACAACACTTCTTGTCGAAGTGCAAAGTACTCCGTAGCATTTATATGCACAAAACACGCATTTTAAATTCATTTGTAATATGGTATTTTCACGTAGATAGAACACATACTTCCTCTATCTCTAAATACACTTTTTAGCTAGCTATTATTACAACTTCTCGGTAACTTTTAATTTTAGTATAATTTTTTATGTAATTTTACAATGTGTAGTTTGTACTCTTTATTTGTATACCAATTTGTAAATAAATTTTTTAAAAGATAAAGATTTTACACGTTCAAAGTAGGGTAATATATATTTAAATTTGTTTTTCCCAGGCAAAACATTTCTCTATCAAAGAGAATAAAGATCAAAAAGTAAGAAAAATAAGAGCAATAACCTAATAAGCAAATTATATACAACCACACAAGCAATTCTTTTCTAAATGTCGATCCGCAACTATTCTAATCGGAGAAATTAAGAAAGAATTAGTACAAAGCACGAGTGCACGACATCCATACAACTCTTATTTTTCTAGTTTTTCTTTTCTATTTTAAATATTAAAAAAAAATTCCACATGATGTAGGTGGACTTAGATCTTACTCCGTATTTTTTTCTAGTTTTTCTTTTTCTGTTTTAACTATTCAAAAATATTGACATGATGCAGTTGGAGTATACTTTTCTTTTTTTAAAATTAACTTCTCATTTGATTTTTTACGGTTTTCAATGCAACACTTTGGCCATTGATATATCTATTTTTATATAAATACAAGCATTATAAAAATAATATATTTCAAAACTATGTTTCAAAATAGATCTATTGATAACGCATTTATATGAAAATTCAATATATTTTTTCCGTTAAATACGGTCAACATTTAAAAAATTTGACAGCAAAAGTCAAATCAAGAAATTAATCTTAAGGGAGAGAGTTATTAATAAAGAAAAACTATTAAATAGGAGTAAATCATGAGACATATCCTCAAAATAAGAGTCTCTAACTTATATACCCAAAATAGGAGTAATTAATAAAACTCCCCACCCCTATCTTGATCGGTCCGCTCCCCTTCTTCTCCCAATCCCTAGCCGATCCTTCCCTGTCATTCTTCCTTCTACTTAGGTTGGAGAATTGGAAATACACATTGTGTTCAACTTTGGTCATATATGTGCTTTGAAGTTGTCTTTTTTCCCATAACACATGTGTAAAGATATGACTTTTTTTAAAATCAAAACAAAAGCAAACTTTTATCTTTTCTTCTCACTGCATTTGTGTTGTGATGTGGCTTTTATAAAACCAAAATAGTTAGGTAATTTTAAATATTGCGTGGAGTAAATTATTAGCATTATTGTTTTTTAGATAGTTGTTGTTGTTGGCATTGTGTTATAAAAGTTGGCATTGTATGTTGGCAAATCGCAGTACTTCTTGACACTTAACAATATTTATGGCATTATATATTGACATATTTAATATTATCCAGTGACATGTTTGTTATTGTATGTTGCAATCTTTGACATTGTTGCTTCGGTTGACATTGTATAGATAATTCTTTTTTACAGTAATTTGTGGCATTATGACACTTAAGCGGCGGCGATTGCAGATCATTATGGTGTCAGCGGTGATGGAGCAGAATTGGTGGCATTGGTAGCGACGTGAAAAATCACCGCGAAGGGTACATTGTTGTGTCGGGGCACGACGGCACGGGGATCAACAACCCGATTTTTTTGTTTTAGGGATGTACTCAGTAAGTTATTTTTGTTTATTTTTTTTATTTTTCCTTTTTATTTTTTTTCTCTTTATGTTGGCCAAAACATAGCCTTGCAAGAAAACACTTACTAATGAGTGTCTTTGATGTCTACCCGCAACAAAACAAGGAGAACGCGAGTCTGTAAACTTTAGGAAATGAATTTAGTTTAATAGGGAGCATTTAAATAACTCCTATTTTGGGGAGTTTTCTTTTCTACTCTTATTTTGGCATATTATCTATGTTTTGCTCCTATTTTGCTCCTTAACCCTTATTAATACTACACAATGTATAAAGGACCAGCCTACCTTCTCACTGAATCAGTCTTTCTAGTATGATCTAATGTGCTGAATGTTTTTTTACTAGTCCGAATCAAGTGTTTTCCTTATGAACATTTCTGATCCGGTTAAACTAAGATGACAGCATTTTAAAAAAATGTCACTTTCCCAAGTTCAGAATTTCACAACTTGGTTCAAACTTCAAATGGGCAACGTGTAGATATGTTGGGGAAGCTGGGGGTACTGATGGAATAGGATAGTGAGTAAACACTTTTGCAAAATGAACAAAAATATTTAAGAACTAGCAAACCATAATATAAGCTACAAGATGAACTGCAAAGTGACAAGGATGTTCTTTCGAAGTGCGGCCATGTCAAAGACAATACAACAAATTCAGAACTCAGGTAAGTAATTTTAAAATAATAAAGAAAAATAGAAAAAGAAAACTACATTCTAAACGGTCTTTCATCTAAAATTGCAGATTGCCTAGCAGATAGAGTGCAAGGAAGGAGAAGGCCATTCCATTCCCATAAGAAGCTTAGCTATATTATATTATTATTACTCACACTTGATAGAGCGGTAGATATGGCGGACAAAAAAGAGCGAAGCACGGAAACCAACCGTCCCAAGCATGAGGAAGAAGCCATAACAGATGCATGCCATGTACCCAAAGAAGAATGATGTTTGCATGAAGCCTGACATGTCCGAACGCGCATAGTAGTAATACAAGCAGTATCCATATATGAATAACCCAGTTGACCCACCGCAAACGAATGACCTATAATCAACACCAGTCACATGCAAGGCAATGAGTTAGAAATAGTAAATTGTTAGGGCAAATTCTTACGTGGTCCTAAGATCCATGCTCATTTTATGGATCTTAGTGTATTGATATCATAAAAGAATTGGGTCTTTTGCAAAAAAGAAAATATCTACTTGTCAGCTCATGAAAAGTGTGAGAAGGTCCGCATTTCACATTATGACCACGGAAGAACAACTCAATCGTTAGAGATGGATGTGGAAAAAACTCATATGAACTGGAAGGCTCACCTCCACCACCATTCGTGGTCTTCAGCGGCAAGTTGAAAGTATGTTAATGCCACAGTGATGAAAGCAGTGACAATCAGCAGGATTAAAAACACAATAAATAAGATGCTGTAGATTGTGTAGATCCTGTGGCCCCAAACACTTGCAAATATATAGTACAGTTCTATATATATGGCACTGAAAGGCAAGAAACCAGCCATGGCCATCTGAGGGAGCGCCCGACGGTACCAGGGTAAAGGAGGGATTTCTCTCGGGTATTTAGTAGTACGACAAGGGGCTTGGAATTCTGCCTTGCTGTTCTTTCCAGCAATTCCTCCCAAGACCAACAACGGTGATGTGACAAGAGCCCATATTAAAAAGATAACCACAATGGTACCAAAGGGCAATGCTGCTGTGGCACTGTAAGCAATGGCTACAGTGTTCAAGAAACAGAAAGTGAGAAACAGTGGTCCGCAGAACAGTGCTCCGGTTAATAACAGATTCCTGACCTGTAAGACAGAATGACCTTTAGTTTATTAACTAATTAATACATGGACAGGATAGGCACTTCCAGCAACCCTGGACAAGCTAAACATGTAAGATGATGGGGAAACAAACTCTGGAGCATTTTTGTTCAACAAAATGTACTGTATGGGTACGGAGTAAATGAGAGGCATAAACAAACAGACCCAGTTTGCTCCTTCAAGTTGGCAATAGAAGGAGGCAGCAGTATAGCCAGCAACGCCTGAAGTGAGGGCATATATGACGACCAAGGCAGTGAATAGAGCTCCCCGATTATAAGGATAGAACACACCAACCA